TGTGTGTGTGTGTGTGTGTGTGTGTGTGTGTGTTAAAATACACATGAGATAAAATTTACTATTCAAACTTTTTAAATGTACAATTCCACTGCATTAAGTATATTCACAATGTTGTAATAGCTATGTATTTGCAGAAGTCATCTCAAACAGAAACTCTGCATGCAGTAAACACTTTATAAACTTCTATCCTCCAAGCCCTGACTTTGCAGTCATGCTTTATCTCACCTTGCACTCTCTAGCAGCTGCTCATGAGGGAATATATTCCTATATGAAAACCCCAGTTTATTAGTTTTATAACAGTGGAGCTAATGAGTACCCCTAAAAGGAGTAGGATTGATGGTTTACAGTAGTAGCTAAGGAAAGGTCTCAAGGCAGGAGGTGGTTGGCAAGCTGAGTGAGAAAAGCATGGAACTCTAGATTTCAGGGTCATGAGTTTGAGCCCCATATTGGGTGTAGAGATTACTTAAATAAGAATAAAACTTAAAACCAAAATGTCTCAAGGTGACCACCACAGTGATGCTGGGGGTTCCCTGAGTGTCATGGAGATTCTTGTCTTCCTCTCACCATGAACACGTGGCAATTGCCTCCCCAGCCACTGGTCCACTACCACCTGAAGGAAATGGAGATGAAGAAATGAGGATTGCATGGATTCTACCTGCAGAGAGATCTGTATATTGGTGCTGGTGGGGCTGGTGAGCAGTCTGGGCATAAGTTGCTTTTGAAATCTTCCCAATCTATTTTGACACAGAGCTAGGGTGGAGGAACACTTAAGGAAGACATTCTTCATCTCCCCATTCAATGGTGGTAATAATCTTTTACCTTCCTGGCAACTAGTAGGGACTAAGAGAGACAGAACATGTAAACCTTCTAAGATAATGACTAGCACATAAGAATGTTCAATGAATGTAAGTGCTTCGTATTTTAGAAACAACAATAGTGATTGATCATATTTGTTTTTTTATATATTAATTTATCCCAAACCACTCTGTGATATGAATAGTCTATCACAGAAAGGCAAAGTGATAACAGAAGAATGTGTGTGTGTCTGTGTGTCTGTGTGGGAGTGTGATATTGTGTGTCCCTGGGTTTGTCTGTTTGTGATTGTAAAACTCTGTATATGTGTGTGTGTTGTTGAAGGTGAAATGTGTGTCTATGTATAAAAATTTGTCTTAGGGTGTGTGACTCAGAGAACGTCACAGTGGAGAGGATACATGAAATGGACCTTATAGGTGAGGTTGTAGGCTATCTTATTCAGGGAGGATATAGAGGCAAAGAGGAATGTACTTGTCCTGGTACAATTGAATGATTCAGCACATACATAAGTGAATGACATGTAGACAACTATGGCTGAGCACTGAGTCCTGGGTGATCAGGGATAGAGGCTAAGTTGTGCCCAGGGATGGAGCCATGGATGTCCTTGTGTGCAATGCAAATGGTGGGCCTTGATCCTCCCAGCAGTGTGTCTGCTATTTGAGTATCTCAGAGTTTCCAAGGACTCCATAATCCTTGTGTCCACTGAGCATAATGTGTAACCTGAAAGCGAAGTGTAATTCACAAAAGGGGACCAATTTGAGTGTATGTATTTCCTGAAGTGTTAAAAATACTTATTAAAACTAAAAAATAAAAATTTATTATAAGACGTTAATAATTGATAACAGTAGATAGTTGTTACTTTTATTTCTCAGTGAAGAGGTAATATCAGTTGCTGAATATAATTTGAGAGTTAGGTATAAGATTCAAAAAGTCTTCTTACTCAAAGGTGTGGAAACACATAACCTTTAGTAATTCATAGTTCTAGGAGTGAAATCAGATTCACAGTTGGCAGAGAAGGTCGCTTTGGTGTCAATGAGGAATATGTATTGAGGAAGGTATGGCAGAGCCCAGGGAACCATATAGGTGACTTGGACCCAAGCCAGGCATGATGGGACTGGACAGTGTTGATGGCTGTGGGGATGGCAAGGAGGGAAGCTCAGAAATGAGGCTATGGGAGCAGAGGGGGCAGAATTCAGTGAACTTTTGAATGTCAGGGGGATGTGAAAGCAGTAAACTTATAAAGCTCTCTAAAGGATATCCACATCTTAAAACCTGTAATTGCAATGCTATGTTCATGATAGAAAAGGATTTTATCAATGTGATAAAACTAGATTCTGACATGGCCATATTGTCCTGAATTTTTGTGATTGTCCTCTACATGCAGCCACACATATTTTCAAATTATATTATATTATTTATTTATGAGAGAGAGAGAGAGAGAAAATGATCTAGAGCCCAAGTACAGCGGAGGGGGAGTTGCAGAGGGAGAGGGAGAAGCAGACTCCTGCTGAGGAGGGATCCCAAACCAGGGCTGGATCCCAGGATCCAGAATCATGACCTGAGTTTGTGTGTGTGTGTGTGTGTGTGTGTGTGTAATTTTATTTATATATATAATTATATATATATTATTATATTTTTAACGTTTTTTAAATTTTATTTTATTTTTTTCAGTGTTCCAAGATTCATTGTTTATGCACCACACCCAGTGCTCCATGCAATATGTGCCCTCCTTAATACCCTCTACCAGGCTCACCTAACCCCCACTCCCCTCCCCTCCAAAAACCAGCAGTTTGTTTCTTAGAGTCCACAGTGTCTCATGGTTCATCTCCTCCTCCAATTTCCCCCAACTCACTTCTCCTCTCCTTCTCCCAATGTCCTCCATGTTATTCCTTATGCTCCACAAATAAGTGAAACCATATGATAATTGACTCTCTCTGCTTGACTTATTTCACTCAGCATAATCTCCTCCAGTCACATCCATGCTGACACAAAAGTTGGGTATTCATCCTTTCTGATGGAGGCATAATATTCCGTAGTATATATGGGCCATATCTTCTTTATCCATTCATCTGTTGAAGGGCATCTTGGCTCTTTCTACAGTTTGGCAACTATGGCTGTTGCTGCTATGAACATTGGGGTACAAATGGCCCTTCTTTTCATTAAATTTGTATCTTTGGGGTAAATACCCAGTAGTGCAATTGCAGGGTCATAGGGTAATGGTGTCAGGTGGTATCTCAATGTGGTTTTGATTTGAATTTCCCTGATGGCTAATGATGGTGACCATTTTTCATGTGTCTGTTAGCCATTTGTATGTCTTTTTTGGAGAAGTGTCTGTTCATGTCTTCTGCCCATTTTTGATGTACTATCTGTGTTTTGAGTGTTGAGTTTGAGGAGTTCCTTATAGATCTCGGATATCAGCCCTTTGTCTGTAGTGTCATTTGAGAATATCTTCTCCCATTCTGTGGGTTGCCTCTTTGTTTTATTGACCGTTTCCTTTGCTGTGCAGAAGCTTTTGATCTTGATGAAGTCCCAAAAGTTCATTTTCGCTTTTGTTTCCTTTGTCTTTGGAGACATGTCTTGAAAGACATTGCTGTGGCTGATGTCAAAGAGGTTATAGCCTATGTTCTCCTCTAGGATTTTGATAGATGCCTTTTGATAGAGATGGATAAAAGACAATTTCGAGTTTATCTTTGTGTATGGTGTAAGAGAATGTTCAAGTTTCATTCTTCTATACATAGCTGTCCAAATTTCCCAGCACCATTTATTGAAGAGACTGTCTTTTTTCCACTGTATATTTTTTCCTGCTTTGTTGAAGATTACTTGACCATAGAGTTGCGGGTCCATATCTGAACAACCCCATATATTTTAAATGAAGGAGATAGAGGGAGATTGACAGACACAGAAAAGAAGAAGAGAATGGGACCACATAGGGCAGAGATCAGAGTGATGGGACACAAGACAAGGAATGTTGGTTTCCACCCATCAGCAGCCATGAATAGATTTTCACCTCAGCCTTCCAGAGGGAGCACAATGATTTCAGCAAAGTGTTATAGACTTTGGATTCTGTCATTCAAGCATTGAGAAAATAATTGGTGTAAGCCACTAAATGTATCATAGTGTTTTGCAGCAGCCAGTGGAAACTAATCTTAATTTTCTTTTTTAAAAGATTTTATTTATTTATTTGACAGAGAGAGAGAGAAAAAGAGAGAGCACACAAGCAGGGAGAGTGGCAGGGAGAGGGAGAAGCAGGCTCCTGATGAGCAGAGAGCCTGATGCGGGGCTCGATCCCAGGACCCTGGGATTATGACTTGAGCTGAAGGCAGATGCTTAACTGACTGAGACACCCAGGTACCCCTAATCCAAATTTTCTGCATCAGGTGCCTTATGGCTTGTGGTCTTGGTGAAAAAGGGAGGCTTATGGAAGGTAGAGCAGGTTGCTGCAGGCAGTGCATATAGTTTTCTACATTTCTTTTAAAGTAACTGTGGAGTCTTGAGTGGAGTTTTCCAGATGGCAGCTGGGTGCTGTTTCTGGAGCTCTCAGGAAAATGTGAGGGAAAAGCATTAGTCTGAGGTGTTGAGTGGTCTGGACCTTGATGGGCAATGTGCACGTGCAGGCTCAAAAAGAGTTAACTTAAGGATGAACCCTGGAGATTCACTAAAAATTGAGAAGTAGATGGAAAACAAATTATATTAGAGAATTCACAGGATCAAATCCAGAGTGAAGGTGTGAGGATGGAGCAGGTTGGTTGTGGTTGTGATGAGGACAGAATACTAGTGGTGTTTCTGGTTGAGAACCATGTGACTAGCCAGACAGTTAGGCCATGGGTATCCTCCATACAAAACCAGAGCAGGAATATTTGTATCATTTATTACCCTGAAACTTCATTTTCACTCATGGCCATGTGATGGGAAATCTATAAAGTGATGCATGATGATTCTTGAGCAAGTATTTCCTCTTGTGGTCCCTACTCCCCAGAGTGTCATGAGTAACTGGACATTAGTTTTCCAAAATTTATTATTGACAACACCCAGTGACCACTTCATGACAAAGAACACCCTAACTCAAGGCCAGAGACTGTGGGATAATAACAAGATAAATAAAAAAGTGCAGGGAAACTGATTTACTGAAGCAAGATGTTGAAACCTTTACATTTTCCAGAATAGGTGATTATTGCAAGACAGATACATTAGTTTATAAGATTCACTGAACATTTCATCAGGATTTCCCCCTGAAACAGATAAAGGAGAGAGAAGTTCAGTCATGATGCTCCTGGGGATGACACCTTAACACAGACTCTACTCATAAGACCTTGTCTGTGAAATTTCAGCCAACAAAAGCCAAGTAGAGTGGGCACAAGACAGGATACCAGGGAGGATGGTAAACTAAATACACCTGACATAATACAACAACGATGCAAGTCAGGAAAATCCATTTCCATAGTCTGGCAAATTAAAGCCTGAGGTGACCCAAGAGTAAGACTCAGGTTTCTAATGGAAGGAGGAGCAGCCCAGGACTTTTTTCTTTGCTATGCCAGGGGGAAGGACTCCAATTTTTCACTGCAGTGCAGATATGGAGGTAGAGACTGGAATAGGGGTGGGAGGGGACTTTGGGTATACTGCTTTCAAGAGAGTCCCAGATTCAGGGTGTGGAAAATCAGCCAGATCGCACATGTCTTCTCAGCACTGAACACCCAGTCCCCGTGGGCCTTTGTGACTGAACCTCATGACCTAAATCCAGCAGTGGATGGGCTTAGAGACACCTTCAAGTATCTTATTTCTAGACAAATACACAATTTAAGTGTTTCCCCCTCACATGTGACTACAGGAGATAGTGGAAGGAGGTTTGCTGGACATGGGTGTGATAAGGGAGAGAGTTGTAGGCATGGAGTGGTAAGTAGGCTAAGATATGAGGGTTAGGCCTTGGTTTGCAGAAGCTGGCAGAGTGCCCAGCCATCTGCCCTCCAAGCTGACAGAGGTCTGAGTTCCCTCCTTTCCAGCTGTCTCCCCATTCAACACTCCCAACATGCTCCTGGGATTCCCCTGTGACTAAGTCCACTCAGAGGGGGGATCTTGCCCTCAGGAAAGCTCCCAGGTAAGGAGGCAGCCAGACTTTGGTCCTTCAACATCACTGCTTGGGGCCCCAGGTATCCTCCTCCTCAGGACACTATGGGGAACCTGGTATTCAGGGAAGTGACCTGAGAAGGAAAAACTTCCCAGATTCTCTGTGCAGCCTTTGTATAGCTCCCCAGGTATAATATCGTCTACCCTGGGGCCACTGGTCATCCTATCAGCAGTGAGCAGGGAGGCAGCTACCTCAACCACCTGTGCCCCTGACAGAGCAGCACCTTTATTTCCTTCCTGGCTGCTTAGCTGAGCAGAAGCCTCTATACACAAAGAAGAAAGGAATTACCAATGTCTTTTCAATTAGCATTCTGGACACAAGGGACATTTCATCTGTGCAGGCCTTCACTTTCATCTTGGCCTCAATGACTTCTGGAGGTGGGTTATATTTCTCAAGTGTTTTCCTGTACATGATTTTGTTTTGAAGAAGGAAGCCTGTCATATCAGTTGCTAAGGCTGGACAGGTCATTGCGTTGGCTGGTGAAGAAAAAGAAATACAATCAATATAAGGAAAGTCAATTTTCCCCCATGGTTTCCTGATGTTAGAACTAGACAGGAATGGAAAGGTTATATGATCCCCTCCCACCGTAGCACCAATGACAGTGGGTGAATAGAGAACCTGTGACTTCATATTGAAGAGCACTCAGAGGATCTAGGACTGGAATATAGGCTTACTGATACCTAGTTCAGTTTTTATCTTTTTAAAATCACATTCCCTTCTTTCCAAGACTCTCCTGGTTTTCTGGAATGTACTTTCTTTATATTTCAAATAATTAAGTTTTGCCTGAATAGAATGACACCCTGTTTTTGTCTTGGATTTTGGGTTAGAGGAGATTTTAATAATCAGTTGTTAAGTGAATGGTAGAGTCAGGTCTTTCCAGAGAGCAGAGAAGGGGTGGGTTGATCTGGACAAGAGCAAGTCACACTCTTTATATGGTGGAAGATCCTACTTTGAGACAGAATAAGACGACTGACTTTCTCTGCTTGACTTATTTCACTCAGCATAGTCAATTATCATACGGTGTCACTTACTTGTGGAACATAAGGAATAGCATGGAGGAGGGGGAGATGAACCATGAGAGACTGTGGACTCTGAGAAACAAACTGAGGGTTTTAGAGGTGAGGATAGGGTGGGGGGATGGATTGGCTCAGTGATGGTTATTAAGGCTAGCATGTATTGCATGGAGCACTGGGTGTTATACGTAAACAATGAATCTTGGAGAACTACATCAAAAACCAATGACATACTGTATGGTGACTAACATAACATAATAATAATAATATAAAAAATTCAGAGCTCAGAAGGCCAAACATCAGGAATGGCCTCTCATTTAGTTAATTATTAGGTATCTCCAGCAAAGGGTCTCTTAATGGATGTCCCTGTACTCATATTTATTTAAATTTCTATTTTTATTAATTTATTTTTAAAAATCTACTTATTTTCTGTGTTTATTTAAAGTAAGTTAAAATAAATCATCTGCTATTAAAAAATTAAGAGTAAGATTATGTGAATGCAGATATGGTTAAAAAGCTAAACACACGCATATAAGCACAAACCCCCAGGTAAGCAGTTTGAACACATTTAAAGCTCATACACAAAGCCATGACTAGCTCTGTTATTCTTGCATGGATGTACAGAATTCCTTAGAGAGGGTGGGAGACAGGGAATGGGGCTCTTTCCTGATCCCTCTGGAGTTGTGTGGAGACCTAAAGTGACCACTTTTCCTAGTGTGGATTCTCTATCACCTCATGTCTTTGTAACCATGCTGTAGCCAGGGAGGTACCCTGTCAGGATCTGATCTGACCCCTGATCAGATGTCACACTATGCAAAGAATTTGAGAGAGGTTTAAATCAGAGGCAAAGGAGGAAGTAAGAGGATGTTTAGAAAGCCAGATGAAATAGAAAGACTGAAGAAGAGTTGGGTTGGTCTCAAGGTTAAGCAGACATTGTGGAATGGATGGCTAGAATTAATCAAGATAAGCAGAAATTCCACCCCTCAGAATGAACATGTTCTACTACAAAATACTGGTATCACTCCTAGAAAACCAGGAGGACTGGTAGATACAGTGAAATCTATTCACTAGTAGATACAGTGAATGCTATATATTTCAGAGCCCCCTTGAAGATTCATTATCAGATATTAAAAGAACACTGGCTCTTTTGGAAGTGAAAACTTTCCCTAAACCCTTCCAACTGTATCATTTTATGGGTCTGAATCCATGAGTGAAAAATCTGTGGACTCAACTGGCACCTGAAAAACTTTGGGAAGGAGAATGTCTGGGAAGTACCAGATACGGGCTTGAGCACCAAAGCTAGATCCATGACAGACTTAATCTCACTCCACTACTATAGCTTCTCTTGTGGTATCTGTCAAACCCAACCATGAGAAAGGACTTGGAGAGATAAAGCATTTTGTTGAAGGTCAAAGGTCTGATAAGTGGCAGAGCCATGATTCACAGCTAAATTTATGTTCTCTTGCTTCTGAAACAGAGTTCACAGATAAGGAGGGAGGCCTCAGTGGAAATTCTTAAAATTTGTCTGTAATAATTTTTTGTACAACTTCCAGGGTGTTGGCAACTCACAAAATTAGCTCTGGTGTTGGGAGTGGGGGCAGGAGGCTGGTTCACAAGTAGAGGAAAAGGAGTAAAGCCACTTAAGGTCACCTAGTTCAGAGAGTGGTACTCACCAGGGCTGGTGCCAGTCTGATGAGAAATGACACTCACCTTCATAGCAGTAAAGAGCCAGAGTGACCAGTAGGACACTCAGGGATAGCCTCATGGTGTATTTTCCTTCAAGTTTTCGGCTTTAGTGAGTGGTGAGCAATTAGAAGCTTATATCAGGAGACTGGGGAACCTAGGGCTACTTATACCTAGACAGCCTCCCTGGTGCTGCCCAAATAAACATTGGTCTGGCCACGGCCCTGGCTTCTAGCCCTAGTTTCCTCACTGAGTGCTCACGCCATCCATCAGTGTCATAGACCCCAATGACTTGGTCAAAGTGCCTGTTCAAAGAGTGAAAACAAACTTTTGGGACTTCATTAAGATTAAAAACCTGCACAGCAAAAGAAACAGTCAACGAAATAAAGACATGGGAGAAGATATTTGCAAATGACACTACAGACAAAGGGCTTATATCCAAGATCTATAAAGAACTCCTTAAACTCAACACCCCAAAAACAGATAATCATGTCAGAAAATGCGGAACCTGGGTGGCTCAGTTGGTTAAATGACTGCCTTTGGCTCAGGTCATGATCCTGGAGTCCAAGGATCGAGTCCCACATTGGGCTCCCTGCTCAGTGGGGAGTCTGCTTCTCCCTCTGACCTTTCCCCTCTCATGCTCCCTCTCTCTCAAATAAATAAATAAAATCTTTTAAAAAATCATGTCAGAAAATGGGCAAAAGACATGAACAGACACTTCTCCATAAAGACATACAAGTGGCTAACAGACACATGAAAAAATGTTCATCATCATTAGCCATCAGGGAAATTAAAATCAAAACCACATTAAGATACCACCTGACACCAGTTAGAATGGTAAAGATTTTTTTTTTAAAGATTTTATTTATTTATTTGACAGAGAGAGATCACAAGTAGACAGAGAGGCAGGCAGAGAGAAAGAGAGAGAGAGGGAAGCAGGCACCCTGCTGAGCAGAGAGCCCGATGTGGGACTTGATCCCAGGACCCTGAGATCATGACCTGAGCCGAAGACAGCGGCTTAACCCACTGAGCCACCCAGGCGCCCCTAGAATGGTAAAGATTAACAAGACAGGAAACAACAAATGTTGGAGAGGATGTGGAGAAAGGGGAACCCTCTTACACTGTTGGTGGGAATCCAAGTTGGTGCAGCCACTTTGGAAAACAGTGTGGAGATTCCTCAAAAAATTATAAATAGAGCTACCTTATGACCCAGAATTGCACTACTGGGTATTTACCCCAAAGATACAAATTTAGTGAAAAGAAGGGCCATCTGTACCTCAGTGTTCATAGAAGCAATGCCCACAATTGCCAAACTGTGGAAAGAGCCAAGATGCCCTTCAACAGATGAATGGATAAAGAAGATGTGGTCCATATATACAATGGAGTATTATGCCTCCATCAGAAAGGATGAATACCCAACTTTCGTATCAACAGGGACAGGACTGGAGGAGATTAGCTGAGTGAAATAAGTCAAGCAGAGAGAGTCAATTATCATATGGTTTCACTCACTTGTGGAGCGTAAGGAATAACATGGAGGACACTAGGAGAAGAAAGGAAAAGTGAGTTGGGGGAAATTAGAGGGGGAGACGAACCATGAGACACTGTGGACTCTGAGAAACAATGTGAAGGTTTTGAAGGGGAGGTGGGTGGGGGGTTAGGTGAGCCTGGTGGTGGGTATTAAGGAGGGCACATATTGCATGGAGCACTGGGTGTGGTGCATAAACAATGAATCTTGGAACACCGAAAAGATAAAACAAACAAACAAACAAAATCCCCCCAAAGTTCCTGTTCATAAGCACTGCTGGCAGCACGCACCTCCCCTTTGTAGCAAAATCTGAGGTTGTACTTGTACAAAAATATAGTTAATTAATTGATGCAAGCCCCTCCTGGATGTTAGGTCCTGTACTGCAGGAGCAGTTTCTGGTTTTGCTCATCTTTACTTAGCATAGTACCTGGCACACAGGAAAGGAAAAGTAAATATTCTTGGGATAAATGAATGAATATGAATCAGCAAACCATGAAACCTGGTTAGGGTGCATCTTCAGTGTAAATAGATACCTGCTATGCCAACTATCCCCTTGGGAAGGTGAGGGAGAAAGATTAGTACTATGGTGACCCTAGTGGGGGGAATGAGTGGTTTTTGTATCCCAAGAGAAGACAATGAGAAGAGGAAGACTACCTCCCTAATACTACTTTCCTATTCTAAGCTAATATTTTAAAAAATATCACCTACTTATGGAGCATAAGGAATAACAAGGAGGACATTAGGAGAAGGAAAGGATAAGTGAATTGGGGGAAATTGGAGAGGGGAGAGGAACCATGAGAGACTGTGGACTCAGAAAAAAACTGAGGGTTTTGGAGGGGAGGGGAGTGGGGGGTTGGGTGAACCTGGTGGTGAACTCGTATTGCATTGAGCAATGGGTGTGATGCATAAACAACGAATCTTTGAACACTGAAGAAATAAAATTTAAAAAATATCAAGATATTTCAAGTCAAATCAGGCCCTACATGGAGAAGAAGAGGCTCCTTCTTAGTTTTACTTGTCACCTGGAAAGGTCACATCTCAGGGTCATCAGGAACCAGGCAATAGAGCTTCCCACAGGGGCTCTTCCTCTGCCTGTGTCCAATTATGAGCATCTTGCTCTATGGAAACACAGGGAAGGTGTTGGAAATTCTTACTAAAGGCATTGGGAAGTCACTCTGGTTATCCAGAGGAGCATATGGGAGAGCCATGCAAGGGTAAATAGAATTCTGACTGGAGGAAATGGCTGGAGGAGGGATCCCAAGGACACAGCATGAGGGGAGATGAGAGGGCACAAACCAAGTTTCATGGGAGTATCAGGTACCTAGGTTACCCTGAAACACATACTACATACGACAGTGCATGGTGGCAGAGGGAAGGGTTTGTGACTGCAGAGACAGGATAGGTCAAACCAAGTAGGGTTTGCATTGTACTCTGTGAGATGTGGGGGCAGAATGGTGGGTGGGGTGAGACACATCTAGGTTTATTTGGCACTAGTGCTTCCATGCTGGGTTTCAGATCTCATGTCAAAATCACATGGGCTTTTCACACCCATCATGACAGCTAATGTAAAAAGAAAAAGAGAGAGAGAGAGAGAGGAGAGAGAGAACAAATGTTGGTAGGGATGTGGAGCAATAAGAACCCTTGTGCATTTAGGTGGGAATGGAAAATGGTGGAGCCTCTGAGGAAAAGAGCCTGTAAATCCCTCCAAAAATTAAAGGGAAAGTTAATATGATTAATTGAGTTCACCTCTTAGTCCCTGTGCAAAATAATTGAAAGGAGAGTCTCAAACACATTTTTGCATACTCATGTTTATAGCAGCATTATCCACAATAACCAAGAGGGGAAAGAACCCAAGGTTTATGGGCTGATGAATAGATAAAGGAAATGTGGTACATATATGTAATGTAGGGTTATTCACATTCAGATGTATAAAACAAGGGAAGCCTGTCACATGCTACAACATAGGTAAACCTTGAGGACAGTGCACTAAGGGACAGAAGCCAGTAAAAAGAGAAAATACTGTATGATTCCACTAATAAGAGGTTCCTAAAGTAGCCAATTTCATAGAAATAGAGAGTAAATGGTGGTTGCCAGGGGCTGGGGGAAGTAAAATATCATGCAATGAAAATCCCGTCATCACAATAAGAGAGGGCTGATGATATCTGGAAACATACCATTGTAGTCCTCCCTACAGGTCCTTTGGTTAGATAGTTGGTCAAGGCAAGAAAATATAAGATGATCTACTGGAAAAAAGTATTAGAACTGATAAAAGCTCATTACATAGCTGAATATAAGATCAGCATGTAAACATCAATGACTTTCTAATAAACCTGTGAATATCACTCAACATCATGAAAAAAATGATGCCACTGTCAACAGAACAATAGCAGCAGCAAAAATACATTGGAATGACCCAAGTGGAAATATGCAAAACCTTAAGGATCAAATCATGAAACTTTACTTACAGATCTAAAAAAGAATCTTAAAAAACCACGGTCGCCAAACTGTGGAAAGAACCAAGATGCCCTTCAACGGACGAATGGATAAGGAAGATGTGGTCCATATACACTATGGAGTATTATGCCTCCATCAGGAAGGATGAGTACCCAGCTATTGTAGCAACATGGACGGGACTGGAAGAGATTATGCTGAGTGAAATAAGTCAAGCAGAGAGAGTCAATTATCATATGGTTTCACTGATTTGTGGAGCATAACAAATAGCATGGAGGACAAGGGGAGATGGAGAGGAGAAAGGAGTTGAGGGAAATTGGAAGGGGAGGTGAACCATGAGAGACTATGGACTCTGAAAAACAATCTGAGGGTTTTGAAGGGGCAGGGGTTGGGAGGTTGGGGGAACCAGGTGGTGGGTTGGAGAGGGCACGGATTGCATGGAGCACTGGGTGTGGTGCAAAAACAAGTACCCTTATGCTGAAAAAATAAAAAATTAAAAAAAAACTCAAAAAAAAATTAGAGGCACACACTTTGTTCCCAAAGGAAATAGCAGAACATTTAAGGAAGTCTACTCTTCTCAAATTACTTTACAAATCTGATCCAGCTCACATCAGAGTCCTCACTGGGAAGTTTTACACTGTGTGTTAGATCTTGAAGTGCTGGGTGTTTCAAAGTAGAATGTATTCATTCATTGAATAGTGTGAGCACTGTGTAAGGGCCCAACTTTAGCGTCTGATTACTGGGTTCAAGCTCAGCTCTTGTACTTTCTACTTGTGGGCACATCAGCAAGTCGCTGACCCTCTTAGCCTGGTGCCTCGTCTACAAAATAAGGTAATCACAACAGTGCCTACCTCATAGGATTTATCTTAGGATAAATGAATTGCTACAGGAAAAATGCTCAGCACACCATCTGGCAGTAAGGTCAGTTGTCACGCTTATGTAACAAAAAGGAAAATATACAAGGAAAATGTCAAACAAAATAAATCAGCTCTCTCCCAAATCAAATCTCAACCTGAATGTACCTGACTCTACCAATGAGGAATGTTTATTTATCCTAAATGGGAACACAGTGTGCTTCAGAATTTGGCTTTAGTTTCTTTGGGATT